TGACGCCGGCGGAGTACTTCTTAAAGACATTACAAAATTATGTAACTTTATGCTTTCTGGTAATGTTAATCAAAATTTCATTCCATTCTTATATGGGGCAAGATTATGTGCCTTCAAAAAAAAGGATAACGGTCCTATTGCCGTTGGTTCCACATTTCGACGCTTAACTTCAAAATTAGCTTGCAGGTACATAATCTCTAACCTTAAGACCAAATTTCAGCCTACTCAACTAGGCTTTGGCACTAGAGGTGGCTGTGAGGCGGCGGTACATTCAGTGCGTACATTTTTAACAAACTCTGATGCAGATGTTCTTGTGAAGGTTGACCTAAGGAATGCTTTTAACTCTATCGAAAGGGTAACCTTGCTGAAAGAAGTGGCTAACAATACCCCCGAAATTTATCATTACGTTTGGCAATGTTATAGTCAAAATACTAACTTGTTTTACGAAAACCATGTTATAGATTCTGCTGTTGGTGTTCAGCAGGGTGACCCTCTGGGTCCAGCACTTTTCAGTTTGGGAATTCAACCCATTATTTCAAATTTGAAATCCAAGCTGAATGTCTGGTACCTAGACGACGGTACACTGGGAGGTAGAGCAGATGACGTCCTCAGCGATCTTACTCATATTTTTCGAAATTTTAAAAATATTGTCCTTGAACCAAATAGCAATAAATGTGAAATATTTTTTTCCAATAATTTATCTACTTCTCATAGAGACACTTTAATTCAAAATTTTAATCATATTTGTCCAGGAATAAAAACTGTCAATACGGAATCACTTTACCTGCTAGGTGCCCCGTTGTTTTTCGATAGTATTAAACCTGTTTTAAAAACAAAATTTGATCAGTTTTTAAACCACGTTGATAAATTGTATAAATTAAACCCCCACATAGCTCTTACTATTTTAAAATATTGTCTTCTTGTACCTAGATTTACATACTTACTCCGCTCGAGTCCAGTCTGGAAATGTTCGGATATATTACAAGATATTGATAATAATCTTAAAATTGCTATAGAAAAAATTCTAAATTTAACTTTAAATACAACAGCCTGGACTCAAGCTACTTTACCTATAAAATTTGGTGGCATTGGTGTGAGAAATCTTTCTAGCGTTGCATTGCCTGCTTTCCTTGCTTCCGTGCATAGTGTCAGTGACTTATGTAACATAATTTTAAATAATAAAGTAGACCTATGCTTTGCTACGGAGGCAGGGCAGACATGGCAAACGCTCTGTCCTGGTGAAAATATTCCACTGGAAGTTAACCAACAAAAACAGTGGGATATTCCGTTGGTACAGGGCGTGCAGAAGGATTTGTTTCATAATTTCCATAGTGACCAAGATAAGGCACGCCTTCTAGCTGTTTCAACTAAGGAATCTAGTCACTGGTTACACGCTTTACCATCAAGTAATCTCGGCACATTACTTGATAGGGAAAGCTTGCGTATTGCCGTAGGAATCCGACTAGGAGCGGCGATTTGTTAACCCCATCAGTGCCCCTGTGGTAGCAGCGTCGACAAGTTTGGGCTCCACGGACTTTCATGTTAGAAAAGCGCTGGTAGGTTTTCACGACACAGTTCTTTGAACGATGTCATCCGAAGGCCTCTTGCCTCTATAAATGTTCCCTCGGTTTTAGAGCCTTGTGGAATATTTAGAGACGATGGCAAGAGACCCGACGGTATGACATTGGTCCCTTGGGAAAGAGGTAAAGCCCTAGTGTGGGATGCTACTTGCGTAGACACTCTGGCGGCCTCTCATCTCAGGGGTACCTCGTTTAAAGCCGGGGCGGCATCAAAGGCAGCTGAGCTGAGTAAGTGGCGCAAATATGAGTCTCTGAGAGAAGACTACATATTTGTGCCATTTGCTGTAGAGACTATCGGTCCGTGTGGTCCATGTGCGGTGAAGTTCCTAAAGGAACTCCATCCGCGGCTGGTCGTTGCTGCTGGTGATAAGAGGGCTGGTTCTTTCCTCGCTCAAATGCTAAGTATAGCCATCCAGCGGGGAAACGCAGCCAGCGTTCTTGGCACGATACCGCGTGGAGTAGGACTATATGATAATTAAGTTTCTAGTTTTATTTTATTTTTTATTATCGTAGTTTTTAAATTGTTGTATAAGTTACAGTAACAGCTTACAGATGTATTAATTTTGCTGTCATAATTATCAGGACGTAAAAAAAAATAGGACATTTGGTGTCCCAAATCCCAATCAAGGGTGATCGGGACATGTCACGAAACCGCCGAAAATTGAGACGTCCCGCGCAAATCGGAACACCTGGCAGAACTAAGGTGTGTAATCTTTGTAAGTGCCTCGAGCGGAGTAAGTATGTAAATCTAGGTACAAGAAGACAATATTTTAAAATAGTAAGAGCTATGTGGGGGTTTAATTTATACAATTTATCAACGTGGTTTAAAAACTGATCAAATTTTGTTTTTAAAACAGGTTTAATACTATCGAAAAACAACGGGGCACCTAGCAGGTATAGTGATTCCGTATTGACAGTTTTTATTCCTGGACAAATATGATTAAAATTTTGAATTAAATTGTCTCTATGAGAAGTAGATAAATTATTGGAAAAAAATATTTCACATTTATTGCTATTTGGTTCAAGGCCAATATTTTTAAAATTTCGAAAAATATGAGTAAGATCGCTGAGGACGTCATCTGCTCTACCTCCCAGTGTACCGTCGTCTAGGTACCAGACATTCAGCTTGGATTTCAAATTTGAAATAAAGGGTTGAATTCTCAAACTGAAAAGTGCTGGACCCAGAGGGTCACCCTGCTGAACACCAACAGCAGAATCTATAACATGGTTTTCGTAAAACAAGTTAGTATTTTGACTATAACATTGCCAAACGTAATGATAAATTTCGCGGGTATTGTTAGCCACTTCTTTCAGCAAGGTTACCCTATCGATAGAGTTAAAAGCATTCCTTAGGTCAACCTTCACAAGAATATCTGCATCAGAGTTTGTTAAAAATGTACGCACTGAATGTACCGCCGCCTCACAGCCACCTCTAGTGCCAAAACCTAGTTGAGTAGGCTGAAATTTGGTCTTAAAGTTAGAGATTATGTACCTGCAAGCTAGTTTTGAAGTTAAGCGTCGAAATGTGGAACCAACGGCAATAGGACGGATACCGTTATCCTTTTTTTTGTGAAGGCACATAATCTTGCCCCATATAAGAATGGAATGAAATTTGGATTACCATTACCAGAAAGCATAAAGTTACATAATTTTGTAATATCTTTAAGAAGTACTCCGCCGGCGTCACCGGCAGAAGCGCTTACGAGATCTTTAAGATGTTGAGGCGTAATTCCGTCAATGCCGCCAGCAGAGCCATTCGAAAATGACATAATTGCTTCTAAAGTGTCTTTTTTGTATTTGTAAAGGTTGCATAGAAGTCTTGGGAGGCAGCAGTAAACCCTGAGACGGTGTGACCGAAGGATGCTTTTGACGAAGGCTTTCAAGAGTTTCGACATTACGAGGAGCCAGGATGTCGTCTGAGAATAAAATACGGGATGCATTTTTTAAGTCGCCATCCATTACTTTCGACTCAACTACTTTTTTTAAATCAAATTTAGGACGTGTTCGAGATAAATCAGTATTAATTGGGTAATCTAAATTTTGAAAAGATGTCTCTTTTAGTTGAGACGTAATTGATTTATTTATTGTTTTATCAAAATGAAAATGGGAGTACGCGAAAGTAAATAATTTTTGCCAACTATTTTCACTATTAGTGAAACAATTTTGAATAGTACATAACAATGCTTTAGCAAGCTGCATCCTCGCACCTCTAGGAATTCTTTTAACCACTGGTACATTACGATAATAATTGTAAATTTGCTCCGAAAAAAGGGAAACATTTGTGTCAATAGAGGAATTGCTAAAAAAGTTATGAATTTCTACGGCAGGCTGTGAAGACGAAATACTTTTACTATGGCATCGTTTAATATGAATATTTAATCCCCTTTTACCTTTAAACAGCCTACCGTCAGCACAATTTTGACACTGTAGGAAATCCGGCTGTGAATGTAGAGGAGCAGAGATATTCATTAAAAAATCTAAACAGATCTCTACAACACTCAAAAGTCTTTATATTGCATATTCATATTAACTTGAAACGTGCTGTACCCCGCATCTTTCCCTGAAACAATCATTTACGGCCTAAATAAAAGCACTTTACTCTATAAATGAAATATTATTACATCCCTTCCCTGGATTTATTCCATATTTATAAGCATTGTATGTATAGTCGTTACGCTTTGACAGTTGTCAACGGCGCAGCAGAAATATTTTTCTTTATTAATTAGTATTATGACTGAAATCAAAAAAATATTATTATAACAACTCTTTTATATATTTTCTGATCTTTTTGTTGAAATTTGTAAGCCAGAATTGGCCCCCAAATAACAAAATAAAATAATATAAATATACGTAGCTTTTGACAGTGAAAAATTTTGACATATTTAATGTCATCTTATATAATATTTTTTATACAATGTTAATTTAAAAGTCACAACAGATTAGAAAAGACTAATAAAAACAAATTCAGTGTTAATTTCTGAGAGTTAAGAATGTTGTCGTAATCTTTCAAATGCGCGCCAGTTACGTTCTAGTGACCTGTCACCTGCACCATGCTATAATGCAAAGACATGGCTTTAGGGGAAATTATCAAATAATCTGTGGGGCGCAGAATACATTTAAAAAAAAGGTCTGTGTGCCCGTTTATCATCGTTATTCTTCACCGACTCATTTGTTCTACAACCATAATGAAACTGCAGCATGACTCTACCGCGTAAAAGGTAATTTAGTAAAGCAAACGTATTTAATCTTAAACAATACGAATCAGCAAATGTTTAGATTTGTTTTGCGAAAAATATAACAACGTGTGACCTTGTCCAGTGTAAAGTTACGGATGATGGAGCATCAAACATACATCAACATTTTTATCAATGGACGCCTATAAAAAGACAGCAACAAGGTGTAAAGTAACAGTCGGCAGGCATGGGGTTCTCAACGCTCTTGGTATTTGGTAAGCAATGCAATCTAATAATTTAATTTAATTTAATAGACAATCAATTCCAGACGGACATCTAGGCAGATAAGGTCTCTTTTCCTGCCGAGACGTCCGTCTGGGCAGATATCATCCTTTCACCAATTTCTGCGGTCAAGCAGCAGTATTTGCTCTGGCGTGTTCCGTTCGGAAGCTCCAGTACAAAAATATTTATATTTTTGTACGTGGTAGAATCATGCTGCAGCTATATGTGTAAAGAACCGGAGACCCTTTTTACTGGAAAAGAGGCATTCCATATTAGTCCTCACGGGTGACAACACATCTGCATTTTGATTCGCAAACGAGGATAGATGTAGATGTCTATGGGCCAAAGCAACCACTTACCATCAGGTGGACTGTGTGCTTGTTTGTCACCCTATACTATAAAAAAAGACTAAAGAGAGCCAGTATAGTTACAGGATGTTAGACATTCCATCTTAGTCCTCAGAGGTGACGACACATTTGTAGCTTGCTTTGTTTGAAATTGGTTGCAGGTGTCTATGGTGTGCATGAGCCAACACCGACATGGTAGAGCCATGCTGCAGCTATATTAGTAGTAAAGTTTTAGCACGAATGGCTCTGCTCAACCGGGGAAGGACCAAGCTCTCACATAATACCACTACCAGCGTAAAATAGGCCTCCCCAATAGAATGCCCCATAGGTGAATATTGGCCATACATCGCTAGGCAGATAGCTTTGCAACCAAACTTTTAATTATTATTTTGAGAAGATGCTGCAGCCCAGCCAATATTTAATTTCTCTCTGACACCTCTTAGGATACAGACCGATTGATATGTGGTGATCGATTCTCTACCGCCACCTGTGTATAATAATAAAAATTAAATTAAAAATAAGCAAAACAACACACAACATTGTCATAGTCATAAAATTATTGTACTATCATCTGTTCTTAATACATTAGCAAAGTTGTAGGTTATTTAGACCTACAAAAGGTGATGAAAACTGATACATATTTATATACAGGTGAAAATAAGACGAGATTCAATGTTAGAGAATGGTTAGCTTTTTTGGACTGATATTTAAAATCAGGTTTCGCGTTTATGTACTGATACCAATTTTAGATCGAAATTTAAGTGAAAATGTAAAGATTTCATGACCTTATTACGGTTATTTAATTATTTATTCAATATTTTGTGTTAAAAGAAAATCAATTCTGACAAGTTTTAATTAATTGAATTTCAGCTCTCCTCGGATATGTATCGGCGGCACCGTGGCGATGCTACCGTACCGCCAGTGGGGCCACCGTATGCATTGGAAAGCAAGGAGAGCCCTGCATCTCTCCACCATCGATATGCATTCCGCGACTACTCCCACCTTGCGTCGGACCTGCAGTCGTGTACACACCACCATGTATACCACCATGCCCTCCACCTTGTCTACCGTGTCCTGAACCTTGTCCACCGTGCCCCGAACCTTATCCACCGTGTCCTGAACCTTGTCCACCGTGCCCCGAACCATGTCCACCGTGCCCCGAACCTTGCCCACCGTGCCCTGATCCTTGTCCACCGTGCCCTGAACCTTGTCCACCGTGCTATGATCCTTGTTTCGAACCATGCCCACCTTGTTAAGCGGAGTACCCATCCACTGCACGATCACAGCACCATGCATTCCGCCACGTTACTGATATAATCTTAGATTATTGAAATAAAAAAGGATAAGAAACAACATCGCAGTTTCCAAAATCTCTTCCAAAACTTTTATTTTCATTCTCATGTTATTTGTAATCAAAAGGTATTTAAAATTTTATTATATGAAATTGGCTTAGTAAAAATTTTATCAATAAATGTTGCTGTAATTCCTTGACGTTTTTTTTATTATTGTGTAATTCACTAAACCTATACTATTTGTTCAAATTTAATAAAGATACCTCCATACAATGATTAGCTTCTGTATCATAGTGACGGCTTTGGTACAAGAACTGATTACGGATCAACATCCAAACATGGAGCAAATATTTGTATGCCATATCATAAACACTTATTCCGTGGAGGATTCGAACATGTGGCCCCGCAGCGACGTAGCCCAACCACTTAGCCATTGTGCTGCTGAAACTTTAAATGTATTTATTTTTTACAGGAGAGTGGGCAAACAAGCATTCGGCTCACCTGATGGTAAGTAACTACCGCCGCCCATAAACAACTGCAACACCGGAGGACTGCGGATGTGTTACCGGCCTTTTAGAAAGGAGTAGGCTCTTTTCTTGAAGGTCCCTAAGTCGTATCGGTCCGGAAAAATTGCTGGTGGTAATCGATTCCACAAGGAAGTTGTGCGAGAGAAAAAACTTCTTCTAATTCTTAAAGACGTATATACACATAGGTACGTATGAGGAAGCTCAAAACCGCTCAGCGAGTTATGAAGTCGGCTATGCTAGGAGTTACTCTGTGTGAAACTTAGAAATAAGGATATTCGTATTAGAATCAGAGTAACCGACATGGCGCAAAGGATCAGTAAGTAAGTAAAAGAAGTGGCAATGGGTCGGCAATATAGCTTTAAGAACAGCCAAAGTATAGGAAAGAAAGGTTTTACTTATACATTTAAATAAACCTACATTTTACGGATTTTATCGCGTATATTAACTTATTTTATATTCCCGACGTTTCGGATACTTTACAAATTAGTTTTATTTAAATGTGTAGTGTTAGCGTAAATATAACCAAACCATTATGTTTTACTTATATGTCAATTGTTCTACCTGTAAAAGTGAAAACACTTTCATCATGTGTTCCTTTTCAATTGATGATGTTGTGTTAGATAAGACATATTAATATTTTACCCAATGAAAAGTTTCGACTAGAGATGTAAATAGATTGTCACTTTTATGACGTACGGTAATTGAGGATCTTTCCTTTGATTCTACAAGGTGTTGTCCAAATAAAACATTTACAATTTACTTTTTTGTTGTTACTGTATAAAAGACTTTAAATGACATAATACTATTCGGTTTTTTGGTTATTTTGTAGTCGTTTTTCGTAAAGCTTACTAATTTTTTATTCAAATTTCTAACTTTAATTGTAAAATTTCTAACTTTAATTGTAAAAATCCACAATTCGGGAAAATGTAGAGGCATATATGTATATGTGGCATATGTATGTGGCTCGGTATTCAAAAATGTATCTTCAGGAATAGGTTATTGGCACTTATAATGCATTTTTTTCTGACAAGTTTTAATTCAATGTTCGTTGTTTCGCTTAATTGGACTATATTATTTTCTTGTGTGATCGTGTGGTCAGTCCTTTGTTTTTGACTAATCGGAGTACTAAGAATTATGTTAAGCCTATTCTGTGTCTTTTTGGTGGATATATTTAGTAGAACACATCGCTAGGTTTGGTGGCTTCTTTAACTCTTTAATTCCCATCTTATGTTTATCAAAAAAAAAAAATTATTTTACTATATGGTACAGATACACTTAGTATATACTAAAAAAATTATAAAGACTACTACCCCCACTTATTTTTATAGGGGTGTCACCTAAATATGACACTAGGCATTGTTTTAACAGCTCATAAAGTTAAAGTTCTTCACTTTCTTTCTATAGGGATAAAACATCCGTTTTTATAATAGAAATATTTATTGACATATAAGAAAGAAGTGTTTTATTACTATGGAACATATACTAGAACTATAGGTGTTAACCGATATTGCGCTGGCGCACATCTTTTCCGTACGTTGATGACAATATCCACATCGCCGCCACGAACGGACACCTTCTACATGGTCATCGGCGATACCTGCAGACCTCACTTCACCAGGCACTCTAATCTGGACCGGAACTCCACAGGCATAATCACGGGTTGAAGAAGGCTTATCATTTTTTGCAGGTAGTGTAGCAACGTTTCTGTGAAAATCACAGTCCAGTTATTTTGGCAAGTGGCGTCTGTCTATACCAAAAACAATCAAGATACCACCACTTTTTTCCACGAAGTCTTACCCTCATGTAGTCAAAATTTTCGTCAAAATGGTTTACCATGTGACTTGGGTATATCCTGATAATACCTGGGTAATCCACTCTTATTTACGATAGCTTTTTTTTTAAATGTCAATATGATCAAGTTTTGTGAAAAAACTCCATCCGTGACAGTTGCAATGGTGTGATAGTGTAATTGCCAAGTCAATCTATGTATTTAAAACATAAAAGATTTTAAATATTGATATGGTCACTATAAGATGTTGTTAGGTTAGCTAATTACGTAATAACTTGAGACAGAAAGCCCATTAAGTAGGGACTGAATAAATTAATCGACTTGGTATTATATGGATCTCACAACTTTTTACGGTATTACGTATTATCGTTGTTAACACTTCTTTCACAGGATTCTTTTGTATGCCTAAAAGTCATTCTTTTTACAAACTATCATTACATTTTGTTTAAGTTTGTAACTTTATAGTTCATCTATATATACACTATGACAATGTCACTTAACATTTGAGGTCTCCTTTTACTACTCAACTTATCAGAACACTCAATTAGGTCTTATAACTATTTTAAAAAATCAAATTAATACGGAGCTATTGTTGTTCGCGTGTGGTAAAATTGTGTTCCTGAAAATTTATTTCTTATAGTTATTAATTTATTATTTATTTAAGCCTGGAGCTAAGATTGGAGCCATTACGGTTAAGTAAATAGCTTTTATACGTGGTAGAGCCATCATACTGCAGGTAAATTATGGTTGTTGTCCTTTAGAAATGTTTGCAATGTTCTCTAAGAATTGTACTAAACTCTCCATTACATGCTTAAAGTGACTTCTAATCATAGTTAATCATCACAAATTTTGAAGACGTGTATATGTATGTAGAGGCGGGGTTATTATTACATTTATGAAAATTATCTTAATGTCACTTTGTAAAATCACTCTAGATAGTTAATTGGGAAAATAATAAATACACCAACATTTAATGATGAAAGCTTTTTAATGCACACATACATACATAAAATAATTATATTTTATCATAACTGATAAATATATCATAAACTTAAATAATCTAGCATTTACAAACAGTTTTTCACAATTAAAATCTTGTACGGGTATTCTTATACAATGCAATATTAAAATAATAAGAAACGATCAATAAGCCTTTAGAATTTGCCGTGGGTCGAGTAAGTAGTTAGTAAGAGATGTTTTGGATAGAGATTTCTTACAAATTATGCCTTCAAAAAATACGGTGACTTGAGATACTGATAAAACACATTGGTCATTTTTTACAACGTCTTGTGTGATAAGATTGTGATGATCTACAGAATCGCTTTATTTTCTGGGCACAATTTGTAAGTATGAACTCAAAATTTAGTTTTAAGACGTAGGTATCTTAAGTGCACGGGCTAGAACAGTATGGACATGAACATGGACTTGGGCACGGAACAGAGCAAGGTTCAGGTATACCAGGATACTGTATACAAGGTTCGGGTATACCTGGATACCGTATTCCAGATTCGCCTTTGAAAATAGCTGACGTAGGAATGCATATTGTTGGCGGTTGGACTGTCGGTGGTGTGGGTCGTCGGATGACAATTGGGGGTGGATTTATTGGAGGAGGCTGTGGCTGCGTTACAGTGATTGGTGGCGGTTGAATAGGTGCTGGTTTTGGTGGCCTTATAACAACGGGTTTCGGTTGGATTGGACTAGGCCGGGGTAGTTGTACGCGGATAGGAGGAGGTGTTATAGGGGGCAAAGGTGCAGGCCTTACAACTATACGTGGAGGCACTATAGGTGGTTGTTGCGGGGGCTGCACAGTAATAGCGGCAGGAGTGATCGGACGAAGTGGCGCTGGTCTAACTAAAATGGGGGGTGGCTGAATGAGTACTGGAGGGGTATGGGTAACAAAGAATGTTCCACCTGGTACTTGTACAGCTTGGAAACCGATTGAGCGTAATTTTTCAGGAATGCTTGACTTTGATATCACGACTCTAATCGGTCCATTGCCACCAGGAGCTGCAAAAATATTTAATTATTTAATTTGATTTAATATTTTTTTTAAGAATAATTTTAAATTATGACTTTTATACTTACTTGGTGGTGGCAGGTTAGGATCGGCGGGTTGCGGAGGACGTGGTAATGGGCAAGGTGGGTTATTTGTTTCTAAACAAGGTGGGGTGCATGGTTCAGGGCATGGTGGACAGCAGGGGCTTGGTTCTGGGTCGTAACATGGCTCAGCATAGAGTGGTAATGTAAACGGTGCTGGTGCCGCTGCCGTGGATGCGACTAACACTGTAAATAAATAAAAAATATTTTCTGTTCATTTTATATATTTATAAGTAGGACAAACAAAATTGTATAATTATTTTAAAAACGCACCTAAAATGCCCAGTGCCGTCTGTTGACACATTGCGTCAGCGGAGTTTGCCTGATTATCCAGATCTTCTACGTTTTATATACAAAAGCAATTGTTATTTAAGTTATGCATGGCGAGCAGTGATAATTTTGTTTGATTTGCAACCACATGCGTTCATAAGCAATGATTTGTTGATTTTTAAATTTTAAATATTTTGATTACTGACTCGAAGCGCAAATTTTTTTTACGATAACTAATACATTATGACATATTTCTAAGATATCAATGTGACACATTTTATAATCGTGGTGAATTCTGACTTAAGAATATAACGGGGTTGATGCAGAATATTTTAAGTCCAATATGAATTTGTGAGCATATCTTTTGTGTTCATACACCAACATAAAATCAAATTTGGGAATGTATTTCCATTTGTAAGGGAATAAAGTTTTGTTAAATGTTTATTACCACTTCTTTGATATGTAGCAAGGTCCAGTTCACTGTATACTCTCCTAAGTTGAACTGGTACTCTTCGAAACACTTCAAAAATGACCGATCACTGTAGTACCACTATCTCTTTAAATTCTGCTCGTGAATCTTCGTTTTATTCATTATTCCGTTAAAGTACACAGGTAGGCCGGTCTTCTTTTAAGTAGAATTGGCCTCAGTAGTCACACTTGGCAAGTGTCCGGCGATCGCAGTATCTTTTGCAGTCCTTCTCTTTTGAGGCTGCTCCCCGTCACCGGCTTAAGTATTTTACGCGTGACGTTATCAAAATGGCTATACAGCCATCTATCTTTAGGTATATCTTTGTTACAGTTGATTTTTTTTATACTGTAATATAATTAATGGAGTTCAGATTGAGTCGCTTTAATTGTTTTTAGTGTTGGACAGGTAGAATTTTTTTATTTATATAAGATAGGATGACAAACAAGCACGCAGTCCACCTAATGGTGAGTGGTTGCTGTGGCCCATAGACATCTACATCTATCCTCGTTTGTGAATCAAAATTAAGATGCATTGTCATCCGTGAGGACTAAGATGGAATTCCTCTTTTCCAGTAAAGATAGTCTCCGGTTCTCTACACTCATCATACGAAACACCGCAGCATTTAGCTGCTATTTTACGCTGGTATTCTGTGAGAGCGTGGTCCTTCCCCGGTCAAGCCGACCCATTCGTGCTACAACTATACTATTAATAAAGCTGCAGCATGGCTCTACCACGTATAAAAATAAATAAAATCATATATCAATTTACATTTTGGATTTTGATTATAATTAGTAAATTATACGTCATTGATACAAAGCAGAAAAAATTTGAGCTAATACATTTCCCTATGAGACATATGTTCTCTAATATGCAATAGTTCCTGCATCGAATTCAAAATCAAAACAAAGAGTAAGTACGCAAATCGTACATACGTTCGAATAGTAACACTTTACCTATGGATTCGAGAAATTACTTGTAGTGAAATAAAGTACGAAGTGAGTCAATGTTTAAATTTAAAACACTGCAATAAGTTAATGAAGCATCAAAAATACTAACAATTTTATCAAATAGTTTTAATTTTTAATAACAAAATATGTTCAGATTATATTTAATTTACAGTCGGAAAGCATGTGTATCTCAACTCTTCTCGTATTAGGTGCGTAGAATTTTATAAAAATATTATTAACTATCCAAAACACTATTAGAAATATTTTACCTTGTTGATATATTTTTATTACTTTAGATTATGTTTAGTTTACCTGTATGTGTCCTTCGATCAAAATTATTTTCAGTTGACGCCTCCTCTGTGCTTCCGTACTATACAGATATAGTCATGGATTGGCTGATGAATTTTATCCTTCCGGAAGAAAAATAAGGTTTTTACCGATATCCTTACCTATATCAGCTTCCACTGGCAACACTATACGCCTCATGTCATTGTGAATTTATATCCTCAAGAATAAGGAAAAAATAATTTAAATGCAAGCAAGCACTAAGGGTGGTAATAATATTCAGCAGGATAGGGATGTACTCAGGGAGACGTCAACTTCATATGATTTTGATCGAAGGACACTTAAAGGTAAGTAGCTTCGGTCAATTAATTATATTCGTTGACGCCTCCTCTGTGTTTGTATATTATGTAGATGTTGAAAGATTTGATGGCTTCATTATCAATTATTTGCTGTAGTAAGAGATTAATGAAGCCAAAAATAAACAATATCTATAAATTACTAGATAATATAAATTACCATTATGAATTATTGTTTATTTACTTTTTACTATTTCAATTTGAAACGCTATCATTACATTTATTTAATAATAGCCAATTATTAAAAAAATGCAAAATTTTGGATGTCTAAGTTTGTTGTCTTTCTAACTTTTTCAACACTAATACCACTTCTTTTAGTATGAGAAGGGGATGAATGCCTTGTGCTATATACAGTAAACATTTATGTATTCTCTTGTTAAAATAATTTACTCATCTAGCTGTCTCACATATTGCAGGGAGGGATATTCGTTTTTTTTTTGCAAATAACCAACTAATTTACTAAAATGATTCAGTTTTAGTGACACACGTGTGATATTGTGAGGTAACTGATAAAATACTCGTATTTTTCTCTAAAGAATTCTATGATTAGCAACGATTAATATTTTTTTTTTTAATTTTAAGTTCAGCTATGTAAACTGAATTGTGTTGGACTTCAACTTTGAGTGTTTTATATTCTTTTATATTTTTTTCATTCTATAAACACCAAAAAGGAACCGTTTATTATAAAAACATGAATCCAAATAAGTGATAAAATAAATTTCTAACTTTTACAGTAGCATCCACCACGATTTTAGACAGACACATTGTATTTATGATTAAAGGCTTAATGATTATTCTTTGCTTTAAATTAATAAATACCTCCTTGAAAATACTAATATTTTTCTCAAAGATTGAAAAATATTTTTTCAAATTTCAAATTCAGCTATATAAACCACATTGTGTTGGACTTCAGCTTTGAGTGTTTTATAGTTTTTTTTTCCATTCTATAAACACCAAAAGAGAACCGTTTACCATACAATACGAATCCAAATAAGTGATAAAGTAAATTTCTTAATTTTACGGTACCATCCACCACGATCATAGACAAAACACATATCGTATTTATAGATAAAGGCTTAATAATTATTTTTATGCTTTACATACATAAATACCTCCGTGACAGCACTACCTCAGCAAGGTAAGTTTTGATGCAACCGATGGACAGTCCACAAAATAGATCTTACAATAGTTGTTTATCAGAGTAACAATTTTAAACTATTATATTTTTAAACCCAATCAACTTTAAAATCCACTCCAAACAGCAATTCTAGAGCTTTGCACTTTTTTATTTTCTAAATCTCTTCATCTAGAATACCAATAAGTAACAACAAAGTGAAGACTAGTCTTGTCTTAAATAATATTAAGGCCGTTTTATATATACTATTCATAATAAGCTTTTCTGACATACTAAACTCAATGTATGTAGGAGGACACGCTTGACATACTGTAATGAACTGGTCTCGACACACTATGAGACAAATTTTTGTATATAATATTTTACACCATTTGGAATAAAATAAGTAATTTGCACGTGGTAGAGCCATATTAGTAGTATAGTTGTAGGTCGACCGGGTCGGCTCGACCAGGGAAGGACCACGCTCTCACAGAAAACCAGCGTAAAATAGCAGCTTAACACTGCTGTGTTTCATATGGTGAGTGTAGATAACCGGAGACCCTTTTTACTGGAAAAGAGAAAGTCCATCTTATTCCTCACGGGTGACAACGCATCTGCATTTTTATTCGCAAACGAGGATAAATGTAGATGTCTATGGGCCAAAGCAACCACTTACCATAAGGTGGACTGTGTGCTCGTTGGTCACCCTATACTATAAAAAAAAACGACCGGGTCGGCTCGACCGGGGAAACACCACGCTCTCACAGAATACCAGCGTAAAATAGCAGCTTAACACTCCTGTTTTTCATATGGTGAGTGTAGATGACCGGAGACCCTTTTTACTGGAAAAGTGGAATTCCATGTTAGTCCTCATTGGTGAACGCATCTGCATTTTGATTATTTATTGAGGATAGTTATAGATGTCTATGGGTCACAGCAACCACTTACCATCAGGTGGACTGTGTGCTCGTTAGTCACCCATATCCTATAAAAAAGTCAGTTTACTTTGCTTAACTATATGGATGTGTTTACTATTCTTTCCTCCTCGATGGGTGGGCTCAGCGCCTGCCAGAAACTACTTGGAAACAATGCAAACAATGGAGGCTATCGCGTGCCAAGTGTGTTGTTTGCTGGTGGAGACAGGTCTCAATAGCTTAAAGGTTTCTGTATGTTTGTTTTAGATATATCAAAGTCCTTTGATCGTTTTAGTAAAATATTATGTATGAAATAAGGAGTCACGTGAGTTTCCTTAAGAGTTTTCTTTATAATCTTTGGTTAACTCTGATAGAAGTAATGCTCTTCTTATAGGTGCCTCTATCTTGAGTAAGCCACATAACAGTCTAATGCAGTTATTTACAGCATCATTATTTTCTTTATCGGTATTATTAATAATACATATATTTACAATGTTAAAATTTTAAATTATAGGGTTTATTTTCCACATAACTTTTAATCTCTGGTTTGGCAACTTAACTTGGCACCGCTGAAGGGACTGCAGCACCGCCCAAATTTCGATGGAATCAAAGGCCTTCTCATAGTTCACATTTTCCAGACATAGTAAAAAATGATACTCCTCGGACTTCTGTACAATTTGCCGAAGGGTATGTATGTAGTCTATTGTGCTAAAGCCTTTTCGGAGACCGGCTTGTTCGGGAGGCTGGAAGTCGTCAAGAATTCGCGCGAGACGATTCGTAATGACTCTCGAAAACAGCACGTAGACGCGGCTCAGAAGAGAAATCGGTCTGTAGTTATTTAAGAGAGCTTTGTTGCCTCTCTTGAAGAACAAGACCACCGCAATTCTGCTCCACGCTTTCGGTGTAATGCCACCATGGAGGACGGAATTAAAGAGCTTCTGAAGGACTACAAGTACCGGTTTTCTACCCGCTTTCAGAAGCTCCGCTGTAATTCCATCCTCGCCTGGGGCCTTTTTTAAGGTGCTGGAGAGCCATTCTAATCTCGCTCAGACTGACGTTCGGGATATCGTCGGAATAATGTCGGATAAGACTCGATCTTGGATTGTTACTCACACTTGCATGTGGCTCCAACGATGAAGTGTACAGCTGCCCATAGAACCTCTCAATCTCACTCAAAATCTCATGTGCCCCGGAAACGATGCTGCCACATTCTGTCTTCAGCTTTGACAGTTGGCTCTTTCTAGCTTACAGATCTCTAGCAAAGACTTTGAAGCCTTGGTTCCGCTTGATCGCTTCTTCAATACGAGCTTTATTGAAGTTGTGTAAGTCCCGCCGCATGCATTTGCAGATCTGTCTGTTCAGTTGCCTGTATGCTGTCAAATCTGTTGAAGAATGTAGCTTATTCTCCCGTCTAACAACCATGAGATTAAGAAAGTGATCGGAGAGTTTTTGTTCTTCTGCGGCGGGTCTTGCAGAACTTAGCTCTGACCGCATGGACAGTTTCCACGAGCTTGTCATTCATATCGTCCACTTCATTGCAGTCTTCTAGGCACTGAAAACGGTTTTGTAACTCGAGCTGAAAGGTTTTGGGGCCTTGGATAAGAGCAAGAGGGGGATGGAGCGTTAAATTTATTAGACGTATATACTCGTAGTTATTTATATATACTATTTAAAATGTAGATTTTGATATGCATATATGTATGTTAATGTATGTATATATATATTTGTATATATGTATAAATAGGAAATATTTCTATAGTTTATTTATTGTTTTTATTAGTAAAATGCATATATAACGTAGATAATTATCATTTTTATTTTGTTTCAATTATATATTAATAAACTTACGTTAAATTCTCACCACTCATTGGGTTGACTGGTAGAGAATGCCTCGAGGGATTAAGTCCGCATTTTGTACCTATTCTTTTAGATTAAGTAATGCAATAAAAAAAAAACTACATAAACCTTCTAGGAATAATAAAACTGTATGCAAAAAGCTCTATTCTTTATTCTCTTAAAAATCCTTACTTTTTCTAATGAACTGATTTGTACATATTTATCCGAGGCATTATTTTTAATTTCAGCCTTAATCTGCGTTACACGCTGCAATTCGCTGTACCAGACGACAGTGTACGAAATAAGGACAAGCTCATCACCAGGAATAGCTACAAACAACAGCATGATGTCAGCTTTTGAATCGTCATCCAATGTGATCCCGTACTATCTGCAAGGACATTTAGCTGTTGGCATAGAACACACAACAGTCTGCGAAATATTTCACAATAAACGCGTACTTAGCTGGCCTTATGATCTATCCCATCCTGCAGCTAGACTCAATAATCAGTGCAAATCTACACCCAATTATCTTGAGCTCGAAGAACAAGTCCCTGAAATGATTAAATATCCCAAAATTTTGCCTTCAGGATTGTCTTACAAACAATACAAGACGAACTCATTACCAAATATAGGTAAAAATAACGGATTGATGACAAATTTTGAATCGTCACCCAATAAGCATCCGTACTATCTGCAAGGACATTCAGCTCCTGGTATAGCACTAACAAAACCTCGAGTAGCAAATCCAAATGCAGACAGACTTAGCATTCCTGGTTCATCCTATCCTGAGGCTAGATCAAATGTCGTGTGCGGATCTACGCCCAATATTTTTGGCCTCGAAGGTCTACTCCCCGAAGTGATTAAATATCCTAACATTTTGCCTTCAGGATTGTCTTCTAAACAACAAAAGTCAAACTCATTGCCAGGCATAGTTACAAAAGACGAATTGATGCCAGCTTTTGAATCTTCACCCAGCAAGAA